CTGCACTCCTCCCTCATGTCCGAAGGCTTTGTGCTTGGACTGTAAGACTGCAGGACTGTCGGGAACAGGGTCAATGCCGACTTACCTCAGATTCCAAGCAGAAGTTGACAATGACATGACATGATCAACAGACTCATATTGCATACAAAAAACAGCGCATAGCAGTCTGGATCATGTTGTCGTCAAATGTCACAGGGCCCCACTGGGTTTCCTTCTGCAAGACCATGGAGATCCACTTGAACTGGAAAGAAGGATCCACTTTCGGAACTTGCGTGGGAGTGGATGCATTCCTCATTACACACAATGATACAAATCACATACACAGGCAAGTGTTCAAGAACATGACTGTGCATATCTTGAAATGAGAATCCTGAGATGCCACTGGAAATACTCCCAATCCAGAAGCCGGGTTGGACGAGCGCTGGACCGCATGCCCAACAAAGCCTGTTCTGCACCTGTGCCATGGGAGATGCTGCTGAACACACACAGTGAATCTGAATCTGCTAGACTACACAACACTTGCCCATGTTCCTACCTGCTCTGTCTGCACCAGCATAGCCACCAGGGGTTGCATCCGGGGCCGACGGTGCAAACACATCATCATGAAGATCAAGCTCGGGCTCTGGTGGATCGAAGCTTGTCAGGTGCAAAACCTGTCCTATGGTTGTCTCTCCCGACAGCGGGCCTGCTGACTCTGGGACTGCAGACTGCGAGACAGCGGACTGCGAGACAGCGGACTGTGAGACTGCAGCTGGCTGTGAGACTGCTGCAGACTGCGGGACTGTCTCGACTGGCTGTCCTCGGCACCTCAGTTCCACCTCAAGGGTATGACTTTCCCGCCCTGTCAACTCCAACAAGTAGTTGTCTCTCTTCTCCCGAAGGAGCGTTGATGCCACACTCCCTGTGGAGATAGGCTGATCGGCACCCCGGCCCTGCCGATGCAACACGAAAAGGATCATCTGGTGATTGTGAAGCTGCAAGAACCCGGAGAAGTCCCAGACCTTGGTATAGCCACAGGCACAGTCTTACAGTCCTACAGTTCACACATGACACATGCACAAAGAAGTCAAGGAACAGGGGTTGGGCCAGGGATTGCATCAGACCTTTTGGTCCCATCTTCGTGACTGCTTCCGGTCGTTCAGGCGATCTTTGCACTTCTTGATCACAAACTCCACAGTGTAGTTGTGCATACAGGCCATTGCTTACAGTGGGGACGAATTCACGCCCGAGACTGCAAGACAGGAAGACTGACTGAGCAGAAGATGCTGCAATTGTTTTAAATGTATACCTTATGACTATAAACCTTTAACCTGTAGACCCTTCCTTATGTGGTAAACCTCCAAAACCCCGGACCCTTAGACCCAAAGAAACCCAAAACCCTACAATACCTAATATTCTTACACCTAAACTGCCAAACAAAACCAAAACCCTGCGATACCGACCTAATAAACTCTTACACCCAAACTCCTAGACCCAAACAAACCCACGAGCCTACAATACCTAATAGACTCCTACACCTAAATACCTTACGACTGTAAACCTTACACTGTAAACCCAACCTTATCTTGTAAACCCCCAAAACCCTCAACTCTAGACCCAAACAAACCCAAAACTGTCCTCTTACACTTAAATGGGAGTTTCCGAAAATCAGGGGTACCATAAATTATTTAAGGGTCTTTATAATAATATATGAGGTGTCCTTACAATCAGGATCCTAGGGTATTCTACTGGCATCCCCTGATTTCGGAAACTCCCAAATACCAAAAAGCACAGAGCCCCTCGAAATCCCGAAAAAACCCAAGCCCTTCCCCACCCCCCACCCCCCCGGCCTTCGCAGGCCGGGCACAGCGGCTGCCGCCGCACCAGCAGCGCCGATGTGATGTTGATGATGGTGATGATGATGTTGATGATGATGAAATAAAATATATCATGAAGGACAATGATGATGATTAAATGTAACTAGATATTAAATATTTGATGACTGAAAGCCCTTGAGCCTGAAAATCTAAGGACCCAATTAAGTAAACCCCCCAACTTAAACCCTGGGGTCTTGCTTTAGGGTTTAGGGTTTGGGGTTTAGGGTTTAGGGTTTAAACCCTAAGCCCTAAACCCTAAACCCTAAGAACCCTAAACCCTAAACCCTTACCTTAAAGCTAAGACCCCCAGGGTTTTAAGACCATTAGGGTTTACTACATAAAACCCTGGGGGTCTGGCTGTAGGGTTAGGGGCTTTAGGGTTTTAGGTATTAAAGCCCGCAACCTAAACCCTAACAGACTTAAAAACCTTTAGGTTTGGCCTTTAGGGTTTGGGGTTGTAAGCTTAGAACTGGTATCCTAGTTAGGTTTGCTTGGTATCCTAGTTCTTCTGCCTACTCCTTTAGTAATATCGATACTTCCACAAAACTATCACGTAACTCATGTGCCGCGCGTCTGGTGCATGCGTCCTCAGTACATGGCATGTCAAAGTATATGTTGTATATCTACTGCAAATGTTTTACTTTACAGATTGTCGTCGGGTGTGGTGTGCTTTGATACAATATCTCAAGGAATTGGTGGCATCGGGAGCATCTTGCAAGGATATGTCACCCCCGTCGCGGATCATGCTGGAAAAGAGGAAAAGAGGTCCACAAACGATGACTTTCACTCGGGAGAGAACTGCAACGGATATGTCGTGGAACATACCGCACCTTGACATGGCATTAAAACAAAGCATATGCCATGTGTATACACGTGACAAACAAAGACATAATAGGAACACAGCATCCAAGGTTAGCAAATGCCGCCTGGCTCGAAAATCCCCAAAATTTGTAAAGCCTGAAATGCGAAAACATCGGCAGGGATCCAAAATCCCCAAAATCGTGGCATCTATGGGGCCATGGGTGTTTAGTTTTGCAAAACTTTGGGGATTTTCGAGCCTGGCAATGTTTTAGCATCTGACGTTGACGAAATGCCGCCAGGCTCGAAAATCCCCAACATTTGTAAAGCCTGAAATGCGAAAACACTGGCAGGGATCAAAAATCCCCAAAATTCCCAAAATCCTGGCAACTATGCGGAGTGCGGGGCCATAGTCTCTCACGTTTTGGGGATTTTGGGGATTTTTGATCCCTGCCAGTGTTTTCGCACTTCAGGCTTCAGGAATTTTGGGGATTTTCGAGCCTGGCAGTGTTTTAGCATCCGATGTTGACGAAATGCCGCCAGGCTCGAAAATCCCAAAAATTTGTAAAGCCTGAAATGCGAAAACACTGGCAGGGATCAAAAATCCCCAAAATTCCCAAAATCCTGGCAACTATGCGGAGTGCGGGGCCATAGTCTCTCACATTTTGGGGATTTTGGGGATTTTTGATCCCTGCCAGTGTTTTCGCACTTGAGGCTTCAGAAATTTTGGGGATTTTCGAGCCTGGCGGTGTTTCAGCATCCGAAGCTGCCCACCTCCCATGATCCACTGCTTACCAAAAGCAAGCATAGTATGGATCATGGGGGGGGGCGTAAGCATATATATATATATATACATATACATATACATATACATATACATATACATATACATATACATATACATATGCATATACACATACCTATACCTATACCTATACCTATACCGATACCTATACCTTTGCCTTATACAGACTGCACCATAGTGTTGTACTCCATCGCGGCATTGAAGCCACTGTGTGCGAATCCTGCTTTTGCCAGCACGAATGATAGCATTCTTGCATAGAGCCACTGATGACACGCACTGCCAACACGTTCGCAGAGGAAAACATTCGGCTGCACCACATGCATTGTGGGAAAATGGCGGTTTCAACCTCAACGATTTGAGGTCGAGTAAAGCATCGAAAGAAGCTTGGGAACATTCTGAACTTGGTCGCAATTCGAGTGGAAATTTCTGCTCCAATAGGTACAGCAACGGCAAACCAATGACGGCATCAGAAAGCTCCTGACAAGTCTGGCTCCGCACATCCATTGCAATGCGGTTCATGACCCCTATGCTGTAAGCCGGCAAACCGTACTTCCACACATCACAGGTAAGACCAAAAAACATGACTGGCATCATGTATGAACAAGATACTGCAATGCAGTAGCAAGGATTTGTTTAACAGCGCTCGATGAGGAAGATCCAATATGGACAAAGGTGATGCAACGAGCAATCAGCTGACCATGAAGAAGAGTAGCCCCTTCAGATCATGGAGAGCTCGACGCAGAAGACGTGCCCGGAGGAGGTGAGAGAGGAGGAAAAGGACTAGGAGATCTGGACCTCCTGCGATTGCGAGTATTGCTCTTTTGCTCATCACCAAATATGTAGAGCTTGGCGGATGGGTACCATATCTTCGACTTGATGTGCCATGCCAACGATCGTGATTCTCTCTACGACGCGCGCAAGTATCGCCACACATCTCACATTGTAACAAGCAAGCACGAAGGCTGGCTTGACAAGCTTCACTGGAATACATGACTTCCGCACATCGAAGAAAGGATCTGTACGTCATCACTGGTGGTGCAATCTCCGATGCCTCGCAAATAACCTTCTGCACGGCCTCTTGTAACTGTCTATCTGTCTATCTATGTGAACGAGAATCAGTCGCCGGCCAACACAGCAACAACAGCATTTGAGGATGTTTCGAGGTGGCCTTTAAGTTTGCGGGTATTCCTGGATGATCAGCTCAGGCATCCCTCCTTGGTATTCAGCTTCGTTGGACAGGATTAGTACCAAGCAGCCCTGCCCCCCCTGCTTTTGGATATCGGCACTGACGGTGGACACACACACACACACACACGCACCACGCACGCACACACCTACACACGCACACGCACGCATGCACACGCGTGCACACACACACACACACATATACACACACAGAGACATGTGCGCACACCCGGAATGAAGACGTGTGCACACTCGTCTAAGACCCTAGAAACGAAGTCACGTGTAAGGCATGCATGCGACGACATCCACGAAGACACGAGCTACGGGGAAGCGAAGCACAAATCTGAGGTGACGACTGTGCGAGGTCGACATCGTAGGAGTCACGTTTCGGGGTGAGGTAGCTGGCAGCTCGACGCACCGCCTGAACCAGGCGACACAAGGATGAGTGTGAGTCCACGACGAGTTGGATTTGAAGTGTTTTCCAGTGTCAGGACTTCCAATCATGGACGCTCTGTTTTCCGTGGCATGCGCCCCCCCCTAACGAACATGCTTTCCGCGGTGCCTGCCGGTGGTCATCCATCCGAAGCAGCTTCTCTTGGAACAAGCTCTCCTGCAAGATGGTGGAATCAACAAGCTCAGACCAGCCACTCACAACATTGGATTGCCGTCGGAAGGTTGCTCAAACAGCAAGCAACAGTATCGTGCTTCGACTTCTAAGCATCAGGATTGCGGGAGTCCCATATATTGTAGAACTTGAGCTGCTCGGTCTCGAAGGTCTCGTGGCAGCACGAAGACTGCCAAACGACGCGGAGAAAGTGAGCCCTCTCAAACAGCAGCTTCGGTTGAAAACGCATGCCCTTGACATTCTTCAATGTCCCCAACAGCGGAGTGCTTTCGTGAAGACTACGGACCTGCCAGCACCTGGCCAATTTCAGTTGCATGCAGAAACATGTTCTTGGGGTCTGAGCCCGAACCCACCCCCGCTGCACCCCACCAGAAGTCAACTGCGAAGCATGGACGAACTACGATACTTGTATTGAACCGCAGAACGGACATCAATCCATGCACGGCTTCTACCCGCTTCTGTCAAAGGGTAGAACTACAGGAACTAACGGGGGGACCCCTCGGCTTATTTCGACTCGCTTGCTTGTCTCTGCCAAATGCTCTGGTCTTCTCGCTTTGGAGCTGCCTGATTCTCTAGAAAGTTTGCTCGTCCCGAGTGCTTTGCTCTTTTCTGGAAACCACTCGAGTCCTTGCCAGCGGTTTCCTCCTGATCTTGCAAACTCTCCAATCATTGTCTCAAGCTTTCCTCATCGTATATTGTGTTTCTCTTCGAACGGACTACTTCTCCATGTCCTGGCTCATTTTCCTGCGGTTTCGCTTTCGAAAGTTTTTACATCCTTTGCAACCAGTTTGCAACTTTCTCAAACTTCTTCCTGGTGCCTTTCGAACGGGCTAGCTCGTGCTTTCAAAATCTGTTTTTTGTATATCGGTCTCTTTCGAGCGCTTTGCATATCTCTCTGAAGTGCGCTCGGCTTTGTTCAGGCACTTTATGCTCCTCTTTCTCAACTTCTTCTGTTCCTTTGTATTGTACTGAATCGCTTTCGGGTGGCGCACTACGGTTTCGAAATTCTCTGTCGGAGCGGTACACTCCTCTTTCGGTATTTTCTTCGGCCCCCTTCTAGCTTCTTTGTGCTTGTTCCTACATAGCCCAGTCCCTTGCTAGCAGTTTGCTTCTGTTTCTGAAGTTCCGCGATCTGCTCGTTTCTCCCGCAAGTCTCTGCCTTCTTCTCATATTCTCGAGGAACTTTCGAGTGGTCTGCCCCTCCGCTGTTCCTTCTCAAGCGGTTCGCTCCCCAGCGTCAGAATTCGAGCCCATGCCCAACATTCTGTTGTTTCTTCTCAAATTCAACAGACCGTTTCGAACGGTATGACCAAAACTCTCACTCGAGTGGTTTACGGTCCCTCAAAGTCGCGATGGACTTTCGAGGCGTTTGCTCCTCTGCGTCAAATTCTCGGGTAGCTTTGGAATCAAGTGCTCTTACTCCCTAAACCCTAAAGCGTAAACTGCAAAAGACCTCTATTCCCATAGAGCGCCTTGAAACCTTTCTGTCCCGTTCGTTCCTTCAGGCTACTCTTGCTCAGGAGCGTCTAGTCTTTTTCGAGCGATCCGCTCCTATCCGACAAATTCTCGAGTCTCTCCGACAAGCATGCTCTGATAATCTCTTGACAAGTATGCTCTGATTTCCCACATTCTGTATTCCCGTTCGAGCGCTCTGCTCCTCTTTTCCAGCTTCGCGAGCCATTCCAAATGGACTGCACATTTGCGTCATGTGCTCCTCCTTGTTGATTGAACTGTCCACATGCGTTCGAGCCTTCTCGCTCTGCCCTTGCTTCTCAATCTCCACATTACCGATTGGCCGAGCTTGCTCCTTTCCCTCCATAGTGTGTGTGTGTGTGTGTGTTTCGAGCGGCCTACTTCAGTCTGTAAGTTGCGATTCTGTATGGAATCGATTGCTTCTGTTTCCGTAAATCTGCTATCTCTGTCCTTTCTCAAATTAGCCTACCAATCCTTTCCCAGCAGAAACCCGATAGAAAGCAGATAGCCCCTCTTTATCTACTTCAACCCGGTCTCTCGGTGTTGGTGGTGGTGTGTGTGTGTGTGTGTCTGTATATACATGTAAATATTGCATGCTGTATGTATGCATGTATGCATGTACGTATGTATGTACGCATGTACGTATGTATGTATGTATGTACATAGGTACGTAGGTATGCACACACATACATACATACATACATACATACATACATACATATGTATGTATATATACATGTATACACTATATATATATGTATATATATATGTATGTATGTATGTATGTATGTATTTACTTATGTACATACACACACAAACGCATATATGCATGTACACATACACACTAACTTATGGATCCCACAGAGTTACGAAGCTCATAGTAAGAGTATTAATGTTGATCTTTACCTTCTAAGTATACATTACGGTGAAGTCGAAATCGCTCTGCCCTGACAGGAGGCCTTCTCGTTGTAAGCTGGACAGAGCTTCAGGTTCTCCTTGACCTTCGCTGGTACAAGTGCCGACAAAACCGACAATAGCAGTATGGACTCGCTGCAACCGTAATGGTCTCAATAGGAGCAAGAAAGTCAGAGCGTGTTCTTTGCAATGACTACGACCGGAAATCAGACGAGCAGCGAAACATTGGACACACAGCAGTAGTTCGATCTCGATGATAACAGACCCTATATGACCATATAATAACAAAAACAATGACAAACGAACTGTGATGGCACCAACAGCCAGCTAGGTCATGAAGGTCCTGCAATTATCTGACGCCTTCACAAAGATCCTTCACTGCTGTAGCAGTTTGCCCTCGAGAAGCGGCAAAAAGGGCATCATCGGCTTACAACCACTTGCGCGCTAAAGGCCCCTTGGGCCGCACTCTATGTAGACTCGCCCAAACCTGCTCTGCCAAGGCACCGATGGGTACGGGTTCAGGGTCTGGATGTCGATCTTGGGAGCCTGTCGGTCGAACACTCGGACACTGTCAGTACCATGGTATCATGGGCATGCTTGAGCGCTGTAGTTCTGCGGTTCCGGCATGCGCTGCTTTGCAAAGGAGTGGCTAGATCAGGATTATGGAACCTGGTTCGGACTCATGGGTTTATGGGTAGCGTCACCACGTCGCGGCGTGCGGTCCATGGCTATGGATTCAGTGGCCTGACAGGCGAACATCAGAAAAATTGACCCACCCTGCATGCTACATGTGGGAAGTGGACCTGTGTCAACCCGTGCGGTCATTATTTGCTATCTCATTGGTCCATATATTCTAATAACGCTGGCTGCCCGCACCCAGTGGACCGCAAACAGCGGATTTTGACCTGGGCTGCGGCAGCTTGTCTTGCGAGCATTCCGGAAAACAAAACTACATGCCACAGAGTAAAAGCAACGGAAAAAAAGGATCTTGTTCTTGGTGTGCTTCACTGTGACATAGAGTCGCGATGATTCGGATGCGATTCGAAAGGTGCTGCATTTAGAGCTACCATTAACAGACTCGACCAGGAACACGTGTGCAGGCCACTTCTTTCACGATTTGTCGGCCCCCTGAACCCACTCACTTCATTAGTGTTGCACTACATGCCTGCAAATTTTACGCTGCTCGCCACACTCGGTACCTCTCCATCCTGTTCACCCCTCGTCTCATGGTGCCAAGGCTGGCTTCCGAAATCGTTGCAATCACTTTCCCGGAGATTGATTGCGCTGCTCGGATGCAGAACTCGGACCATGAGGCTGTATATACATATTATATATATATATATATGTATTAGTATTCATACTAATACTAATACTAATATGAATATTCATATTAATAGTAATATTCATATGAATAATCGTAATAATTATAATCTTAGCATTAACATTGATATTAATATCAATATTAATATGCAACAGGATATAAGCCGAGGTCCCTGCAAAATGGTTTGTGTGCAAGTGCCAGCGATGAGAGCAACAAAGGAGCGACCGCGCCCATGGCGGCATGCGTGTCCCTTTTGTGTCGGGTATACTGGGGATGAATGCTTCAATCCGTACATCGACAATTCTCCAGCGTCACAGCTGGGCCCGGCAAAGAACATGGGACCTGTTGGGTATGCCAACTGCGCTGCTTACGGACTTGCGTGAGACTTACGAACATCATGGAATCAAACCTCGTTGAGCTGGACTGAAACCACGCAAGAAAAGCTATGAAGAGGCTGTCTGATGCCTGGGTTTTGTTGTGCTTGGAGATGCATGCGTCGCTTGGCAACATCTCATTCTCCAGGTCACAGGAACAAAAACATGCCGACATGCCGATCAGAATGTGTGCTCAGGATGCAACGTATGGCATGCCCGCTGAATCTGCTGCAGCACTTCGAAACCAAGCAAACTCCGTGTCCGCAAACAATCAGCCTAAACAATTTCGTCCTCCATGGCTGCCGACACATGGATGCGCTGCCTCCACCCCAACATCTCAAATGTGTGATGTGTGCCGACATGCCGACATGATACTCAAAGAGTGGTTCCAGGTTCCTGGAACCAGTTGCAATTCCGGCGTATTTCAATCAAACAGAGGAAAAAGTTACGAATTGTCAACGCCGGATCTTCACATGCAGACATCAGGGAATGATGGTTTTATGGAGTCTATGTGGCTATGAGCTTTTGCCCTTGCACCAGGCACACCTCCAAGCTTTGCAACCAGCTAATTAATGTTTGCAAACGCTTGCGGTCGCTGGCTCAACAGACTTGGGCTAAAGCAATCGAGGTGACTGGGCTGCATCAGGA